TAGTTTTCCATTTTATAGGTATAAAGAAAGAATTTAATTTACCCTCACCAATATTTAAAAGAAATTTTGAAAATTTTGCATTCGATGATCTCATATTTTTTGTTAATTTGAAAATATGAAAATTATTCCAAAGATGTGAATATTTTATTGATTCTTCAATAATTATTTTTCTGCAACCATGTTTAATTACCGGTAAAATTTGTCGAAAATCACCTCCCAATATTATTAATTTTCCCGCAAAAGGTATATTTTCGATACGACAACAATCTCTTAAGGTCTTGTCAACAATATCTAAAGCTTTTTTTGGGATCATCGATGCTTCATCCCAAATAATAATGTCAGATTTCATTAGTCGATATTTATCAGATTTTAATTTCAAAAAAGTTGTTTCAATATTTGTTAAATCTAGTGGTAATCGAAATGTTTTATGACTTGTCATACCACCAGGTAACAAAATTGATGCAATACCTGTCCATGCCATAGATAACACATTTTTCCCCAATGAAAGGTAATAGTATATCAAAGTTTTATATAAAAAGGTTTTTCCAGTCCCACCAGGTCCGTCAATAAAAACCATTTTATAATTGCCGTTAATAATGCTTTGAAAAATTAAATTTTGATCATCATTTAATTGATTAACAAATTTTAAAAACAAATTTTTATTTTCTTTCATAAATAATTCAAAATTTTCTTTATCATTAAAATCTTTAATTTCTTGAGGTTCAGGTAAACCAAAATTAGAACATGTCAAGTTTTCCAAATTTAAAATGTTATTTATTTCAGTTAAAGCTCTTTGTTCATTCTTATTCTCGAAACCTTCACAAAAATGTTTTTTAAATTTATTCCAAATATTATATTGTGCAGGTGAATTATCAGCAATAAGAAACCAAGCATAAAACCGACGTAATTCTTTTGGCATCATTATGTTACATGCCTCCTCAAAAATTTTACAAATTTGTTCATCAGATTCTATTAGTCCCATGGCTAAAGCTGCATTTTGAAAAGTATCATATGTTACATTGTCATACGTTTTTAAATCTTTAAAGCAAGTTGCACCCCTTACACGATTTAAAATTAATTTTAAATGGAATCTTTCAACATCTTTTGGGCTTACACTACTGACTCTACCCAAACATGTACTAAAATTTTGTCTTTTAACCCATTTTTTGTTTTTTAAATCAAATAAATAATATTTTGGAATATTTGAATATTTAATATTTGTGGAATTTTTGTCTGTTGAATTTAATTTAAACCAAGCAGTAAGTGTTGTATCACAATTTTTATCAATTGCTTCTTTTTCTTTACTTTCTTGAAATAAAATTTGTTGTTGATTTTCAGTGTGTACTGCCAAACGAATTACAGAATGAGATCGTCCTGACAAAGGTAACGATTCAATTCTCCATGCAGCTTCCATAGGACTAACATATCTAGCATTAATATAATCTTGGATTTCGTCATAAATTTCATTTTTTTTCTCTTTTTTTACTCCAATAAAAGCTCTATCGTGACCTTTATGTAAATATTTATAAATATATTTTATGCTCCCTATAGAAGCACAATATTCAACGTTAATGTGGCAACAATATTTTTTTAGAAGAATTGGATTGTAAGGAACAACCATAGAATTATCAACTTTTACAATTTTACCATTTACTTTTGAATTATAAACATAAAGTTTATTTTTATTATTTTTTCGTTTATATTTAGGATAACCGTTTTTTTGAATTTCCGTATATTCACAAAAAGGTTTTGGAAATTTTTTCGAACAAAGATCTTTATTTTTTTTTAAACACGGTGAATTTTCATTATGAGGGCCATGTAACATAAATTGCAAAACCAAATCTCTTAGTTCGTTATCATTCTCCGGAATTTCTGCTGAAATATGTTTATCAATATCTTCTGAAGTAAGTAATTTATTTTTATAATTTAATATAAACAATAAATGACTGTGAGGTAATCCTCTTTTCTGAAATTCAATTGTATAAACATATCCCAAAACTTCACCAAAAATTGAGCCGCTAAGGATATCAGCGATGATACATTTTAATTTTGCATAAAATAATCGAACAACAATATTCGGAATGTCGTTGCATGTTGTTCCCTTTGGAAATTTGGAAAGTATTTTTTTTATTTCCGGCCAGTTAGGATTACATGTCACAGTAATGAATAAGTCAGGTCTTCCAATTTGTCTGTTAATAGTCATTGCGTCTTGAAAAATTTGATACATATGTCGCGGACTACCGATATGAGTCGCAGGTAAAATAAATATATTACCCAAACGTTCTTTATTTTCAAAATTATTAGAATTATTTGATGCAAAATTTGAAACATGATCAACTAATCCCTGATAACACTCAACTCTCAATTTCGATTGATTATATCGATAAAAATCTGTCCGTGTAGTGTCCATAATTATAAAACCTTGGATTACATATTGCTGAGACAAACGTCCACAATATAAAATTGGACTAAATTTCATATTTGGACGATAAGCTAAGCGATAAGAATAGTATTGCAGAGCTGTTAACCTTTTTTTACTTTTACAATTTTGTTTCAAATCAAAACTCCACCCCAAATCCCCTGAAGGAAACATAATCGGAAAGGCTAATGGATCTAAATGAACCGACAATTTACTTAAAAAAGTAAATGATTTGTTGCCTTTAGGAACATTTCTAGGATAAATACATAGATCAAAATTTTTAGGAATTTCTCCATCTTTTGAAACAATTAATGCAGCACATTCTGCAGTTCTTGGTTTATTATATGTATGTTTATTCAAATTAATGTTGTTTAAAAAATATAAATTAAATTTTTCCAACTTTTTTCCTTGAGATAATTCATGTAAATGTTTATATTTTATAACATACGGATTATCGTTCATAATTTTTGTTAAAATTTTTATATGATCTTTAATTAAATTATTATTTCGTTTTAATCTTTCATTAATTGCTTCAACGTCATCATAAATATAAATTTGACCGAGAGTAGGAGATTCTCCTTTTTTTGGTAACAATGAATTTGGAATAGAGTGACAAATTTGCCCCTGAATGTTTAAATTATAAACTCCCTTTTTTGAATCATTTTTTATATTTCCGTTAAAGCTGACAAAAGCAAATCTATTATTATAATATCTTATTAAATCTCGAAATTTTTGGTCAAATAAAAGACTTTTTAATTTTTCATTATAATCTTTCAAAGGAGATAATTTTATTTTTCCATTGTGACAACAACTTTTATATGAAAATTCCATTGACCAAAACATTGCTGAACAATGTGGGCATGTGTAATCCATTTCCCCAAAATCCAAATAGGTAATTTTTGAAAAATTCAACTTTTTAAATTTTTTAATTACTTGATTTTTTCTTCTTTTACAGATTCTGTTCTCAGTCATACGAATTGCTCTATCATTTTCTCTTTTTTTATTCAAGCGATCCTCATTCATTTTTTCAATCAAGTCTTTTTCTCTTTTTTTATTCAAGCGATTTTCATTCATACTTTCAATTAAATCTTTCTGCCTTTTTTTCTTAACTCTCATTTCATTCATGTTTTCAATTAAATCTTTTTTTCTTTTTTTTTCAATACATTCATCATTCATATTTTGAATTAAATCTTTCGCACGTTTTAGATTTTTCCTTTTCTCACACATTGATTCTATACGATCACTCTCTCTCTTTTTCATTAAACGTTCTTTCGTCATATTCTCAACAACATTTGCTTTTTTTTTTCTTTGCAATTGTAAATCTGTTAAATTATTTACTTTTGCTTTTTCACAAATTTTTTTTTTATTCAATTCGTAATATAGATTATTAGTATGTCTTTTATAATGTGCCCAAAAATTAAAATTACAATATTCTAAAATATCATAATGACCTTTATCAAGATTTCCAGATAATAATAATATTAATTTCATATTATTATTATAATTTCCATAATTTTTAATATTGTTAAAGATTTTATGATAAATTGTAACATTTACATTATAAATTGAAACAAAGGCTTGAATTTCAACCTCCCCACCATAAACACTATTTCGCAACATAAGATTTTTATAAGAATTTTTATCATAAACAATTTTGTCATAGGATTCATCCCCGATAATAAAATTTTCATATAAAATCCAATTGTCAATAATGTAATTAACAATTTTAGTTCGTACCTTTTTATGTTTTTCTTGGTCATTGTATAAAAAAAAGGAAAAAGATCTAAACAAACAATTACCGTCTGGTTTAATTTTGACTTTAGTATCCATTGTGAAATCTCAGAATCAAATCTAAAATTTATTATTTTAAATGTTTAAATTATCAGTGATTGGGTTTTTTTAAATAATAATTTTATGTTCGCAATTTTTTTTTAATTAAAAATTATAACAGATTGAAATAATGTAAAAGAGAACATAAATTATAAATAGAATTTTAAAAACTTGAATAAATAATTAAATAAATTAAATAAATTAAATAATTATTAATTAATAAAATATTAGAAAGAAAATTAACTGAAAATGCACTAACGTACCATTAATAATTTTCGAAGGATTTTCAATGACCAAGAATTCTCATCAGTGACATTCTCATCAGTGATGATGAAAATAATAATTTTGTAAAATTAATTATTTGTAAAAACGATTTAAAAAATGTAAAAGATAACATAAATTATAAAAAAAAATTTAAAAATTGTATTTTTATATTATACAGATTTTTGAAAATAAATTTTAATCAATAAAATATTGGAAAATATTGAAGAAATTAATTGTATTAATTAATTAATTAATAGTAATTAATCACTAACCTTTAATACAAATATTGCTAAAATGACATAATAATTTTCCAATTTGTCGCAATTTGTTCAAATTCTCATCATTGGGTAAATTAAATAAAAATTTTAAACTGTACTTTTAAATTTAATTCGATTTTATATTATCAAAAATTATGTTAAGAATTTTGAGAAACTTCACAATTGACAGTTTGAAAACAATAGTGTTAGGAAATGATATGTTCTCTGAAGTTGGTTTGTTTATATCATTTTTTTTTTATATTTGAAAAATCATTTTTGTTTAATTCAAATTGTCAAAATTAAAAGTTGATACTTTTCCAAAATTAAAACTTTTCCAATCAAAATGTCTAAAAAAAGAAATTTCACTTCTAACGATCTTTCGAATGATAAAAATAAAAAAATTAAAATTGATGAAAACCTTGATTTCACATCTTCAAATTTTCTACAAAAAAAAGTTAAAGTTGGAGATAAGTTTGTGTAAGTTCTTAATTAATAACATTATTAATTTATTTATTGTCACTAATTATTAAATTATTTTTATATAAATAATTTTTTTAATTAAAAAATTAAATTGTTGAAAATATTATTTTATAATAGGTCTGTCGTGGGTTATGTAGAAACTATACATAAATTAAAAAAAATAAAATCAAAAAAAAGTGATTCAAAAGATGAGTTTGACCTTTTTAAATTCGTTTTGAACAACAATGATAATTGTCGAATTTCATGCTTGTCATGGAGTAATGCTGCGTTCAAATTTTCAAATATGATCAAGGAAAATCAAGTAATTCTAATAATTTCTTTTTATTGTTCTGATTATAATTTAACTTCTATATATTATATATATATTTACGTTCTCTAATTTATTATTTTTACGAAGAAAATTCTTTTTCAAAATTTGACTGCGAAAGAGACATCAGATTTTAATGATGGAAATATGTCTTATGAATTGTTATTAAACAACTCTTCTAAATTAACTCTTTTGGGAACTTTTGATATTTTAAAAGAGCAAAATCAGATAATTGCAATAGAATTTAACAAAGAAAATGTACTAAACAGTACAGGATATATTAGTAAGTATTATTTACTTGTTTAAATTTGTAATCGAAAAATAAAATTAACTTTTTTGGATTTACTTACAGAAATTGAAGGTTATTTAAGAGATAATTTTATTCCAATCAAAATTAATTCAAATAACTATTTTGGAAGTATTACAAATGGCGAACATAAAATTATTATTACAATTCAAAATTTTTCCGAGGAATGCAACTTTCAGCAGGGACAAAAATTACGAATTATTGGGCAATTATATGAAAACGGTATTATATCATTATTATTATTATTATATACAACAATTAAAGATTAATTAAAAATTATATACAGATGACTTTAGTATTGCAATTCAAGTACAAAATGAAAAACAAATTACAATTCTTTCCAATGAACCTGATATGTCCTTGAAACTATTACTGGAAGGAGGAGAGTTAATTTATAAATCATAAGAAAATGATGAAATTTTATTGTGTCCTTAACCTCCAAATTAAATCTATATATATAAATCTATCTACCAACATCTATGATGATTGGTTACTTCCCCGTAGTGTATCATTCATTGAAATCTGAATAAATATTTTTAAAATTATTAAATTTTTATTAATATATTTATTAATTAATAATAAATAAATAATTAAATAAATTAAAATCAACATTAAGAAATTATTTTTAAAAATAATTTCAATGAAATTGCCTAAAAACCAATAAATTATTAAAAAGTCTTGAAACGTACATAACCTTTAAATTCAAGTCATTTTTGGCGGGAACTCCACCTCCTTTTTGGCAGGGGAGGGGAAATGAGAGGAGAGAGGGGGGACTTGCAGCTATATTCAGAGTCTTGAATAGTGTTGAACCATTGTACTATCCATGTCAAAAACGTTGGCTAACCTAACCTGGTCAAAAACATGGGTTGGGTACACTTTAGATCATTTTTGGCAGGGGAGGGGAAATGAGAGGAGAGAGGGAGAACTTGCGGCTATATTCAGAGACTTGAAACGAACATAACCTTGAAATTTAGGCCATTTTGGTGGAGGAGGGGAAATGAGAGGAGGGTGGGGGGACTTGCGGCTATATTTAGAGCCTCGAAACGAACATAACCTCAAAATTTAGGTCATTTCTGGCGGGGGAGGGGAAAGGAGGGGGAATGAGAGGAGGGAGGGGGGACTTGCGGCTATATTCAGAGACTTGAAACGAACATAACCTTAAAATTTAGGCCATTTTGGCGGAGGAGGGGAAATGAGAGGAGGGTGGGGGGACTTGCGGCTATATTCAGAGACTTGAAACGAACATAACCTTAAAATTTAGGCCATTTTGGCGGAGGAGGGGAAATGAGAGGAGGGAGGGGGGACTTGCGGCTATATTTAGAGCCTCGAAACGAACATAACCTCAAAATTTAGGTCATTTCTGGCGGGGGAGGGGAAAGGAGGGGGATATCCCCCCTCCTAGGTCAAAATTTGTTTCTGGCGGGGGAGGGGGAAGGAGGGGGGATATCCCCCCTCCTAGGTCAAAATTTGCTGAAACAGCGGCGGCGGCGGCGGCGGCGAAATCTTTTTATAATATAGTAATGATATATATATATATATATTACATTAAGTATATTAATATTTTTTTAATATTAATAATATTAATCTTATATGAGAGATAATAATATTTTACAATTATATAATTATAATATATTATATGTATTATAATACATTATATAATTATAAATATATATTATTAATATATGTTATAACAATCATTACATTATTATAATGAATAACACTTTATTTTTGGTTATAGTTTCAAGTTTAAATTTGGCGCCATTATCTTTGGTTTTTAGACAGTGGCGCCGTTAAATTCATGTTTCGTGTTACATGGTTGGTATTTATTTCTGTCAATTCAGAAGTTTCTAACCTAAAAATAATGTATTTTTTTTCTATAAATTCAATGAATCGGATTTAAGAAACAAAGTTTTTTCAAGTGTAATCTGTTTGTTCATTGAAAACAATGATTTTGATTAATGGTTTTATGATAAAGTGCTTCTTAATTGACTATAATTCGTCGATTGAGGGCAGAAATACGCCAATTCAGGTGAATGTTGAGAAACATGACAATCTAAAACACAGTTTTCCTAAAAGTATCAAATTGAGACCAAAAATTGCATCAAATCTTTGCAACGTTTTGATGCACATAAGTTATATCAAAAAGAGATCGTTTTGTGTATAATTTTTAGAAATGATACACGAAACGGTCTCATTTTTTGATGCAAAAAATTTAATCAATTTTTATCAATCATGGCCGAATTGAATCGACTCAAAATTAAACGAATTTTTTCAGATATTTTGGTAATAGTACAATTGCGGAGACCATTTCACTATTTAATTTGAATGATTGATATAAATTGATTAAATTTTTTGCATCAAAAAATGAGACCGTTTCGTGTATCATTTCTAAAAATGATACACAAAACGATCTCTTTTTGATATAACTTATGTGCATCAAAACGTTGCAATAGAAAAAGATACAACCAAGTTTACTGTGAAAATATTAGGGAAACCTGCCATTCCAGTAAAGATATTTCAAAAACTAGCCATCTCAGATGTCAAATTTTTGTTGATTGTTTTAGGTTGGTAACACTGTAAACGAAAAATTGATGAGTCAAAATAATTAATATTTTGTTAAATATTGATGGTTAAGTCGGTAGAACCTTTTATAATTTTCTTATTAATAATTATATTTTTCTTAATTTTTAATATTGATTTCAAGAATAAAATTTTGTTAACTATAATATAACATTCTCAAGAAAGTATTACCAACCTAAAACAATCAACAAAAATTTGACATCTGAAATGGTATGTTTTTGAAATCTTCACTGGAATGGCAGGTTTCCCTAATATTTTTGAAATTGTCATGTTTCTCAACATTCTCCTAAATTGGCGTGTTTCTGCCCTCAATCGACGAATTGTCATTTTAACTTGAACTCAAAATGAATCGGATCTAGCTCATTTTGATGCTTTTTGCCTGAAGTTCAAAATGAGTTTTTCGAGGTTCATTTTTGAACTTAGTTTTTTTCTGTCTAAGTCCCAAAAAAAATTGCTAAATCAATTATTGTTATTATCATTATATTAATGTCTGAAATAAAAAGTTTTTCAGTGTAAAATTCTAAAATTGTAATATAACATCTAAAAAAAAAGGAGATTAAGTGCTTCCAATGATAACCGAAGAAAATTGTTTCTCTTGGGTGGTATAAATAGATATTCGAAAGTAAAGGTTCATGAAAGAGATAAAACCGACAGCCTCGAGTTTGGAGACTATTTTCTACTGCGTCCACTCAGACTCGGGATTCGACCTGTTTGCTGATAATGGCATCAGTTGATCTGGGGATTAGTCTCCAGTAACCCACGCAACAGTGGAGAAGAGAGGAAGTGCAATATAAACTTGCTGAGACAAGAAATCGGAGCAAATGTAGCTGGTATATATGTATATATATATATATATATAGAAAGAGAACTTGTGCAATGTGCGCTTTCTCTCTTGGTCAGTGAAACATTTTCAGAACTGTTGGGGTTGAATGAAGAAAGGAAATGGTGGGGTCGATCCGATCGTGTTTTCTGACCGTGGCATCTCTAGATCCAGGGGATTATGCCAGCCTGACACGGTACGTTACTATACTGACTGGAGCCCTGAGGGGAGACAAGGCCCTCTATATGTATACCACTGAACGCACACAAGTAAGCTCACCTACATGGCACTAAATCCAGAAGGATATAACCCCGCGAACCTGGACAGCCACGATCCTTAACCGACGTTGACCACTGGCCAGTATTCTACCATCCGAACGAACTGTTGTTTAAGTGGCTTAGAATAAGTACCGTCGAAAGTCTATGTCCCGTTTGAGCTAATTACTTCCCTCCCCAAACTATATATATATTATACCAGTTGTTGTGAGCAAAAACTTTTGTCTTTTATCAAATGCAGACTTTAAGCTCACTGAAAGATAAGTAAATATCTCTCTCGCTCTCTCTTGTTCTATACAAAACTGACCGCAGGGAAGCTGTCACAAAGCGCGGGGAAAGTCGACAAGAGATGAATTCTCTTTAGAGGATTTTCACGACTCTTTGAATTCTACAATAATCTTTCTTTTCGGCATAATTTAAGTTTCATTAAGCAGCTATTCATTTATAATGTTATTATTAAATTATTCAATTTTGTTTTATATATGGATAATTCTCCGCGTAGCGTACAATTTAGTTATTGCTATTATTAAATTTTTTTTACAATTTCAACAAAAAGTAAATTATAATCTTTAAGGTTAGTGCTCAAGAATGAAATATTCGATAGTAAAAAAAAAATTTCTACTATTAATTAGTTAAATTTTACTAATTCAAAAGCAAAAAGTGAGTCATGAATTGAAATTATAGTTAAAATTTTTGAGTGTTTTACTATAATTTAGCTTTAGGGGCCATTTATTAATTAAGTAAGGGTTCTTAGGGGGAGGGGGCGGTTTATAAAATCTCTACATGGTCTTACGTCGGCGGGTGGGGGGTAGAGGCTATTCTTACGTAAAATTTTGCCAAGTATTTTCCATTTGTATTGTTTGTAATTAATTTTTTAATTACATTAATATTGTTAAAAACTTGCATAAGAAGGGGGAGGGGGGGGGGTTCGAAAAATCTCATGTATTCTTACATGGGGGGTAGGAGGGGGTCAAAATTAGCCAAAATCGTCCTTACGTAATTAATTAATGGTCCCTTAGAGAGTAAGGTAATTAATAGAATGACACTTTTATTTTTAAATATATTTGTTAATAAATATCTAATAAATTTAAAAAAGCAAATTCTCTTACTTTTCTCTGACTTATTCTAACGTGTCACCCTAAAAGAAATTACTTAATACATGTTTTGTAAATTAACGGATTAAAATACCTGTTAAATTAAAATATTTACGAAATTTAAATTTTTAGAAAATGAAAAGAAAATTGAAAATTTAAGTAAATAGAAATTCATCGTAGAAAAGAAATTAGAAAAAAATGGATAATTTAGGAATTTAATAAAAAAAGAGAATTTGAGAGAATAATTGAAAATTTACTCCACTTGGAAAAAATAAAAAAAATGTAACAGTTTCCAGAAAAACAATTTTTTTTAAAAAGAATCGATTTTTCAGAAAATAAAAAAAATGTAAATAATTGATCAGATATTTCAGAAAATTAAAATAGAAAATTAAAAATTGTAATTTTCATCCTTGATTAATTCCTGAATTTTTCCTGACCGTTATATACATATATATGTATATATAATTTTTGTAAATTTGTTTATCAATCTCTCTTTTCTTTTCTCATTAGTTTTATTATTTAATAATTTTAATGCTATATTAAAAAAAATTAGTGAATTTATAAAAAACTCGAGTTTTATTACTTTTTTTCAATATTATAGATATTATCATCGATTTTTTACATTTTTATATAACTCTCTAAATAAGTGTGTCCAATCAGTGACTGTTAATTAATAATTTTAAAGAACACATAATTATTAAATCAATT